GGCAGATGGGTGGAACCAAATTTTCATAAAATGTTTCACAAAATACCTGTCCCAAGAGTTATGTAGAAGATGCAAAAAGCTAAGCTCCCCCAGTCTCTGGTCACACTGCTCTGGGGTTGGGCAGAAGCTGTTCGTGAAAGAGGCGGACAGGACACGGGATTCCTCTTCTTGGAGCACTGTCCCCACTCCAGGGAGTTAGAAACTGGAAGTTTAGAAGTTTTCCACAAGGGGCTAGGACTGAGTGAGTGCAATTAAAGATTGCTGCCTGATTCTCAGGTGGTTATTAATTGATTCTGGTTTTTAACCACAGAGCGGGAAGAAAAGAAACCAACATTTGTGGGAAACCTACTGTGTGGTGGGAACCTTCCACACGCTCACTTCCTTAACACAGATGCTCCACACTCATTCAAAACGGGAAACTACAAAGATGAGTGGAAGAGGCAACCATGAACACGTTCTTGGAAACAACTTTACATTCTCAGGAGTAAATACCAAAGAAGCCAGGGTTTGGGATGCTTATAGCTTCCAAGCCGGTACGATTAGGCAGTATTTACAACCCAGAGGGCACTGCTAAATATCTGTAGAACAGACGACCTCTAAGGTCTCTTCCAATAGAGGTTTTCTGCGATCCTATAAATAACTGAGAACCAAGGGCAACAGAGTCATCCAGAGCACCCGGGAGAAGCACCTGCTTCAGGCAAGTCTTGTCCACAGACACAGGCAGTTTGTCATAAGGATGGCAGTGATTCACTCGCACTGTAAAGGGTGCCAACAGCACAATGAAATCAAATGCTGCAGTGGCTCAATTAACAAATGCTCTGGAAATGGAATTTTTTTATGATGGAGTTGGCTGTTCTGCCCCCAAACACCCCATTAATTGCATGGCTGTTAGTGTGTGCCGGTCCATTCCAGGGTTGCAGTCCTTGGTTTCTCCTTGGCAGGAGCAGGTGAAAGAGCACAGAGGTTGGGATACAGATGGGAGGGAGGGAGGATGGAATCTAGCAACCAAGGACTTGAGTGGACTGAGGACAAGTGACCCAGCCCTGCCCGTGCCTACTGTCCTGCTGTACACACGGCACAGCTGGTACAGGCTTGGAGAGGAGGTGGTCAGGCCTGACTCCATCACCTGTTCATTCCCATTCCTGTTCAGGTCGCTCACTCTGACTTGGTGCTGAGGCTCCACCAATGAGCCAGGCATGGTCCCACGCATCCTCAAAGAGCTCACAGTCTGCTGACAGCACGCTCTTCCCAGAGATGGATCCACATAATCCCCAGAACCTGGGTGATGCTGAGCATTCACTTCTGCTCGTGTCTTTAGACAGCAAGCAGCTGGAACTGATACACTCAGTGCTGTTCCTGGAAAAAAAGAGACCTGTGGTGTTTCAAAGAACAGGTCTGAATTCAAAGTCTTCCTATGGTGAGCAGCACCAATTGCTCTCAGCAGTAGAGAAGGCCTTCTATGCATCCCTCTTCAAGTAGAGGATGACAAATGCTTGGACAGGGAAGGGGACCTCACACACTGTGCCTGCTATGGAATGACGGCTGCTAACTCCTCCCTCCTGGGGGCCTGTGCTCTCCCGGTTGCCCTCAGTTCACACAGCAGCCGGGTCTGGTGTGGCCACCAGCTCCTTCCATACCAGCAACTAGCTGCCAAAGCATGTCTACTCCATTTGGGAGGGACAGAGGCTTCCTCTTCCAGACAGATGGTCCAGAAGAGCCAAACAGCAGCCTGTGGTCACAGATCTGATGCAGCTGGGCCAAAAGAAAGAGGCAGGACCCAGTCCCCAGAGCTGCCCGAGGTCACAGAGATGCAGTCTATGGGCTAAGACACGGCCTCAAAGGCTAAACTGGCGTCTCAGTTTGGATCAACATTTGGAATCAAAGGCCCAAAAGGAAGTAGAGCTGTCAGGACATGGTGCAACATGAGGATGGGGAGCCATACTTCTCCAGCCCAGTGGTCAGCCTAGGACAGCATTCTCTAGGCACCTGACAGAGACCTAGGATGGAACCAAGATAGACACTTGGGAATAAGGACAGAGGAAGAATCACACTGACTGAACAGAGACGAGGTGGGCGGTGAAGACACTGGGACCAGTGTGGAGGGCAGGAGTTAGCGTCGCACATGGTCCCTTATTCCAGTCTGAAGGAATGGGGGTGCTCCACCCACAGTATTCACGGAGGATGGAATCTGAACTGGGGCCCCACCCCTGGATGAGCAGAAGGCAAGATATAGAGTGCTGGGGCAGCAGCGGGCAGCACTCCTCAGTCTTCTCCACAGCCACTAGACTGAAGGAGGCTCTGGACCTGGTCCTGGTCTGGCACATCCAGTACTTTGCATTCCAGTTTTCCAGGAAGGAGACTGACAATCCCCAAGTGCCAGTGAGACTATTTAGATGACAAAATCCACTCCTACCTCCCCACATGTGCCCCAGGGCCCTCTGCTCCCCTTGCAGAACAAGGCTCCATCCCTGTTCCCTGGTACCACAATGGTGAACCTGGAACTCTGGAGAGGCTCCCGGGACTCCAGGCGGTCAGGCACCACAGCAGGTGGGTATGGAGATCTGACATCTTTTGGCTCAGCCTCTGAAGTTTAGTGGTGTCCCATGGCATAGGCTGCTGATTCCCACTTCTTAACTTGGTGGCTCCCCCACACTGGGCCTGAGTCAGCTCTACTCTGCGGCCAGGGTGTCAGCCCTCCCTCCCACACCCATCTTTCTCCGCTGGAACTCCACCACACTGCCACAGTCGTGAGGAACCGCACAACCATAACGATGCGGTGGCTGACATGCTGACAAGTTACTAAAAGCCTGTCTAAAAGGACGGAGGCACCAGCTCTAAGAAAGTTGCCTTTGTCTAGAGTTCAGCCCAATACATCCTTGGATAACTCAACTGACAACAGTGCAAACCCATCTAAGGATGGCAGCTGAACTGACAGGCTCTGCAGACAAAAAGAAAGAAGGTCAACTCAGCTCCCATCTTCATCAGAACATCCTGGGAAAAACCCAGGCAATTAAGGCTCAGAAGCACAGAAAGGAGAAGTGGTAATTGTAACGGTGGCATACCATGTCTCCCAGAAGTAAAAAATATTAAAATTTGTTCTAAGAAATTAAGACACCTTTCAGATATTCACTTGTCAAAAATGAGGTGCCTCCCTACTATGTGCCAGGCACTTTCACTACTTGCTACTCATCTGCCCCTCCCATGCACTATTCCCGCCTCCCACTCAGACGGAAAAGCCAGGCCTTGAGCCCTTAAGATGTTCACCATAGCAGCTGCTGCTGTCATCACACACCACCTATATGACACATGTCTACCAGCCAGGGAGCGGCCTGCTCTAGCCCAACAAGCCAGGACCTGGTGTCCACAGAGCAGGGACCAGCACCAGCCTGCCCAAGCCCCTCAGCACTGTGAACTTGGCCAGGCCACGAACCCTGCTAGACCTCAGCTATGAGACAGGGATTTCTGGGCTCCCTTCCTGAATAGGAGGAAAGGCTGTGGCACTTGGAAGGAAGAGAAAAAAGATCATGGACCCAAGATGCCTTTATCTATAGCCACCATGGTGCTGAGATCACAAAGGAGGCACTTGGAGGACAGGACCTGGGCTGAAGGGAAAATGTGACTTGCTCCATCGGATCAGGAGGCACCAGCGGGCTCTTACCCCTTGCCCAGCAGATCTTCCCATGGAGGCTTTCGCATGCCTTCTTTGTGGAAGAGGGGAAAAGCCAACATCCAGACCCCTTTCTACTGCCCAGCTCTCACCGCGCCCACTTCCTACTGTCTAGGAAGGCTGACCTAGAGAAGTCAGGAGAGATGAGGTAGGAGATGAGGAGGCCAGCCAGGAGGCTACTGCAAGAGTCCAAGCAAGACTGCACCAGAATAAGAGTTAGGATCGTAAAACACAAATGACAACATGTATGTGAGACATTTCAGAGGCAGAGTGGATTGACAAGAAGGAATGACTCTGTGTTTTGTTTTGTTTTTCAGGCCAAATAATTGGGAGATAAAAGTGCAGAGCTGATTTCGAGGGTAAATTGGGGAATTCAGTTGCAGGCACATTGAACGTCAGGTGGTAATACGTGTAACTGTCCAGCAGAATGAACACAGATGAAAGACAAAAGGCAGGTTTATTATTTTTAGAAAAAGACTTGGTGGTCCTTCTGCTGGCATCCCTTCATTCTGGTCCCATAAAAACTGGCAAAAATATGGAGAAAGACAGCACAATAATAAACGTACCAGGGGAAAAAATATTTCAAAAAATACTCCAAAGCCATTTAATAAAATTTGACTCCTGTGTTTAATTAAACACCAGGACGAGCCCAGATATACTATCCACTGCTGTCAAGGGTGCAGTAAACTGACTTTCTCATACATGCCGGAAGAAAGAGCCCTTTTAAAAGCAATTTGGCAATATGATCCAATACTGTAAAGTGTTAATATCACTCACTACCTACAGTATTACTTCTAGGAATCTGTTCTGAGAAAACACTCAAAAGCAATAGGTATGGGACAGACAAATGAGGCCATTTGGTCCATTAAAATACTCATCTATAGTAGTAAAAACCTGGAAGCCACTTAAACATCCAATCACAGGAGAGAAATTAAAGAGTATTATAAACCCTGATGAAACCACTATGTAGGCATTAAAATATTAGTTATGAAAACAATGTGGTAACAGGAAAATCTACTTTTCACTTATTTGCCATGATTTCAAGTAGAAATAAAGAGCAGGTAAGCCAGGCCTGGTGGCGCACACCTCTAATCCTAGCACTAGGCTGAGAGGAAGGAGGATCACAAGTTAGAAGCCAGCCAGAGACTTTGCCTCCAAAACAAAAGAAAAAGCCGGACATGTGATTATATAGACATTATAATTATAATTACAACTTCTCTGTTAAGACAGCAGGATTTGGGGGTACAACATTTTCCTTCTACTTTTCAAATACATTGCTTCAGATGAAAAATAAGCTAGAATGTTGAAAGTCAGCTTGTGGGGTGGTAGGTACCTTGGCTCCATCCACACTGATGATCCGGTAGCTGTTCCTTGTGACATCGTAGAAGTAGGAAACGGTGACGGCCTGCTTGCTCGCAGGCACCCAGTTCTTCTTGGTGCTGGGGTCGATCTGGAAGACGTGCGCTCGGGTGGTGAAGATGGGCTGCTCTCTGCAACAGAAGCGGTGCACACGTGAGCGGACAGAACATGATTTTATGCACAGCCTGTGACTTCCAGGCCACCCACTGCCCCAAAAGATTTTAAATAGCTTATCAGCAAAGATACATATGCATGAGCCCAATTTAAATAAGAAAAGGGAGCCGAGGAGAGGAGACACCAGTGTGTAGTTACAGCAACTCACACTCCATTTAGCTGACACCACCTGAGACTGCAGGGCAATGGGTTTAATGAGCAATTTGCTTAAAATGCAATGCCTTTTCTGAGAGGTTTTGCACACCTGTCAAGTGTCCTTTTCCTGACGTCCTGCTGGTATTCTTAGGACTTCGGAATCAATTCCCTTTAGGATTTTGCAACAAATTTATTTTGAGAGATTGCGCAACAATTTTAGTGTTTTATAATGCATTTGCAGCGTAATATTTCTATAATCAATGTGGAGATCCAAATGGAGATAAATCAGCATTGAGGGTCCCCAAAAAACAAATAACAGAAATTCCACTCAACCCAGCTATCCCTCTTTCAGGTAGCTTCCTAGAAGAGTTGAAGTCATGATATTACAGTGATCCATGCACATCCATGTTTACAGCAGCACAACTCATAATAGCTAACTCATGGAAGTGGCCTATATGCCCATCAACAGATGGCTGGATAAAGAAAATGTGGAGTATATGCACAACAGAGTACTACTGACCCATCAAGAATGACAGATGTGAGTCATGTGTAGGAAAATGGATGGATTTTGAGTGACTAAGAAAAATAAACACAAAGGATTAAATATCACATGGTTTCTCTAACATGAGACTGAAATTATAAATAAAGGAGTAAAATGCAGGAGAGATGCTAGGAAACAGAGAAGCAAATGCTGTGGCGATGAGATGATGATCTGGGGAAGGAACAGGAAAGAGGATTAAAAGTGGCCAAGATGTGCTACGTGTATGTACAGAGATAAATGTAACTATTATGTGTCACAAACATATACTATTAAAAAATGCTACATTTCTAGTAGGTACTTCTCCAGTTTACAGCCTCCCCCACCCCAGCACTGGGGATTAAACCCAGAGACCACTGAGCTACATCCCCATCTTTTTTAAATTTTATTTTGAGCCAGTGTCTCACTGGGTTTCCCAGGCTGGCCTTGAACTCACCATCTCCTGCCTCATCCTACTGAATATCTGGGAGTACAGCCATACACTACTGCACTGGCTCATAGCATCTTTTTTTTTTTTTTTTAATCTTTTTGAGACAGGGTCTCGCTAAGCAGTTCAGGCTGGCCTTGAGCTCACTTTGTAGCCTAGGCTGGCCTCAAGCTGGCAATGATCCTCCTGCCAGCCCCTCAAGTGCTAGGATTACAGGCTTGTGCTACCATGCCTGGCTCATAGCAACTTTTTTTTTTTTTTTTTTTTTTTTTTTGGTTTTTCTCCGGTACCGGGAACCGAACTCACGACCTTGCGCTTGCCAGGCAGGCGCT